TTGACCACTCTGCCACCGACGGCAAAGTTTTAAATTATTGCTGGATTTTTAAAATTAGATTTTAACTAATATAAGAAAGACAAGAAAGGAAAACAGCAAATTTAATTGCAAAAGTTGTTTTAAAAATGTCAAAAATGTACATCTGGCTCTTTTCCCCCACCATTTTGGACAGTCAACTGGTCTTAACTTGCCTTTTAATGCAGTTAAATGCAATTTAACTAAGTTAACAACAAGGAGCGCAGTTAGTGTGTTAGTTAGGATGGTCAGTGATTTCTGGCATACCCGCATGGTGATAGTAGGTCAGCAGCTGTTAGGGTTTGAGCATGCGCAAACAACAGGCATGCATTGTTCGGAAATCCTTCTAGGCTTGGGTGCTTATTATCGGAATGTTCGTATTTTTTATTCATTTATTAGGTTTTTGCGTGTGTTTTTTCTGGGTCGATTGAGTGTAGTTCAAAGAGTATTGTTAGTGTTAGTATTGAGTGTTGTTTGTGTCTCGTGGGAACGGGATTCTCGAGAGTTATCAAAGGAAAGTATGGTTTGTCGATTGACAAACAACAGCATGTCTGCCATGATGGCGGTTGTATATAAAAATTCCATCGCACAAGAAAGTTCGGCGACATCGATTTCCGAGCCTAATCAGCCTGTATCAAGTCAAAATTCATCGTTGACAACTGGGGAATTGCCACAGGATAATCCAGCCTTAACCCAGGCGTTTTCCAGAGCATTAGAGGAATCTTTGCCTGGCATTTTTGCGGCGGTGAGGGCACAAGTTGGTGGGAGTCCAAGTTCATCCGCACATGGTCTTGTCAGTGCAGCAACAAATCTTGGCGCATCGCCTTCAACATCGTACAACCTCTCAGGGCCTCCTACATCTACAGGTAACCTTACTGTACCGTCATTTATATCTACATATTGCACGTTAGACAACGCACAGCCACATGTTGCGGCTTCTACCCCTTCGTTTGTGTCTCAGCCACCGCATTGTGATGGTCTAGTTAGGCCCTCTTGGACGGAGGGTGGTGACAGCACATCCTTAGATTGTCTGCCCTCCAGTTTGGCCTTACCAACAGGGAGTCTTTTACCTTCTACGAGCGGGTATCCAGCCCCAGCAAAGGCGTTTGTGGTTGGTCCAGGGTATGCACCAGTTTCCAACAAATTGGTAACTAAAATTACAACAGGCATGTTTATTGAACTAGCCGATTTATACTCGAAACTTGCCAAAATATACTCGAAACAAGGAGTTTGTTTCAAATTTGACTCGCGTAAATATGTTGTAGTTAAAAAACTCCAATAAGACACTTGAACAGCAGTGAATAGTACTTTTTAAATCTTTGAAATGTGAAAGCTCGGTATTTCAAACAGTAACTGTTTTTATTTTTCGCACCAAACAACCTAATGTTTTGCTTTGTGAGAAGAACATTTGATCAAACATGTGTTGTTTTGAGGCGGTCAAGTGTGCAAACATTTTTGTCTCTCAAGTCGCTAGAATTAAACCGATCGTTGAAATTTTTAGGGAAACAATAAGTCACAACGTGTTGCTTACCTAGAAAATAATTTAATGCAGTACTCACCTTTATATTGTGAAATATTCAAAAATTTGTTCCTGACTCCTACGAATCGAACTCCTTCCCCACTTCAGTGCCTCTGTACGCCATCTTAAATATTTTAACCACACTCGCTCGTAGAAGCCCAAGACGCAGTAGAAATATGAAACAAGTCGTACAGATTTCGTCAAAACTTTAATCAAAGCGAAAATGATGAAAGTTTTCTTGCAATTCTCATGTGTTTAGCACCTTCCCTCGTTCGAAAAGTGTAAGCGCCATGTTGAAAAATTCTGCTGTGTAACTAAACTACCATGATGCTTAGCAATTCCGCAATTGGCCCATTTTAAGAACATTTTCTCGCAAGATTTGATTGGCTAATCAAGGCAGTGAACAAAAGTTTTCGACTTTCGGCGCCTCGTTGTCTATTATATGTAGCTATATTTGTTTGCCGTTGAAGGGAACTTATTTGATGAAAGTTTTATTGCTTGTTTTCAAGCTATATAATAAAGAAATTAAAGCCAGAAAACTTAACGTCTAAGCACTGACACTGATCTGCATAAAATATGGCAAAGCCATGGCATTATTAGTAATGGGCTAGTGAGTCAAAGTGAGCTTGGTGTATGAAGAGCAGCTGCCCCAAAAGACGATAGTCATACAAAGTAAGTTTTGCATGTTTATTTTATAGTGTCAAGAAAGGGACTTCTAAACTATTAGTCCATTTCTATCACAATAGCAATCAATTTTAAGTGAAATACACATTGTTTTGTCTTCAAACTTTAGTTTATCTGCTGGATAGTGGATTTAAACTACTTCCGGACCTTGGATAAATTTATCCAATGGATAGTGCATTTTATCCATTGGATAGCGCTATCCAAGCTTCGTACAGTGCGATTTTCACTCCGGATAAAATTTATCCGCTGGATAGGGACTTATCCACCGGATAGCAATTTATCCACCTTTCGTACAACTGGCCCCATGTCAATGCTTGTTTTGGAGATCGCTCAGAAGAGGAATCCATATCTTTACGCTCAGAAGAGGAATCCATATCGAGGGTTTTTACAAGTAAAGCATCAATTCCAAGCTGTATGTTGTTTGCTTTCTTTCTCTTATTATTTTCATACTCCTGCTTTTTAAATGGGCTAGCAAAATGTTGTGAGGGTGCTGATGTTGTAGGTGGTTCATTAGCAGAAATTAAGCTTAGGTTTGGTATTATCACCAACAGGTACACTAAAGTCAACGTTTTGAGGTTGAGGTAGGTTGCTTCCTGGTTGAGGTATGAGGTTGCTCTCAGTTTTTCGGTTGAGAAAAGTGTCTCGCAAACGAAAAAGCTATGCAAACAAATTGCACATGGGTGATTTTTTGTTCCAGCACCAGATCTTGTAGCCAAAAATTAAGACATTTTCTGTGGTTATCCTTTAATTTTTCCAATTTAACCCTTGATTACCTCAGCTGCAAATGCAAAATAACATATTCAACAACAATGACAAACATACATGTATTTACCATTAAGTGGAAAAAATCTCACACTGACAAGGAAAATTGTCTGGCATAAGACAGAATAATATAGCTGAGGATTGGGGAGCACCTGGGGTGCATTGCTAATTAATAATTTTATCCATTCCAAATTTATATTTTAAAGACCATGTAAAGTTCGTTCTGTGCATATGTTCTGCGCAGGCCTACATTCCAATGGTCGGGACCCGACCAATGGAATGTTAATATTTCTTTCACCTTTCGAACTTTCTTGAATTGATCTCTAGTCTGTATTCATTTACAAACAATAGCGAAATAGAAGAGTGTTAAAAATTCAGGATAATATACACATAATCATATTTTACAACTGTAGCACTGAGTTCAAAATGTACACAAAGCATTTGTTTACATTACAGACTTTATATGGCCTTTAATATTTGTACAAATAATTGTGTGTTATATCATCAACACAATAGCAATACCATAATCCATATTTCAATTTTGGGTTCTGGTACTTCACTTAATTGCTTATTTACAAGTATTTTTCAGAACATTTTATGCTCGATCTTAAATTTGTACACAACAGGCAGCAATATCCTTGTATTGCAGCAGAGGTGGTAGTGCTGTGGGTTGCTGTATCAAAGGAGCTGTTGTATTCTCCACTTCTTGCAAATTTTCCCTTGAATTCTCCTCAGCAGCTCCTAAGTTATCCTGCATCTTGAAACTTTTATACAGGTATTATTTAATTATTTTATTTATGTGAGATATTACAGCATTTTGATTGGTCGCCAGGTTTAATCCACGGACCGGACCAAAAATTTTTATTATCCGGGCCAGCAATGTTGCCGGATCAATTGGAACCAAAAATTTCTACTGATGGCACATGCACAGATTTTGTTTTGTTCCGGTCCGATCCACTGCTTATTATCAAGAGTGGAAATTAGCTTTTACTGGAAATCGCTTATTCTAACAGATTTTTTTTCAATCTGGTACAAGCGATTTCCAGTAAAAGCTCATTTCCACTCCGGGTAATAAGCAGCGGATCAGACCAGAACAAAACAAAATCTGTGCATTTCCACTCTGGATAATAAGCAGTGGATCGGACCAGAACAAAACAAAATCTTAGCCTTACTTTAAATTTCTCATTGAAGTGGAAATATGTAACCAAATAAATATAAAAGCAAGAAATACATATCAAGAAGCTGACTAATTGGTTTTAAACAAAAAAAGTCAATTTGGGTGAAACAAATTGCTATTTGAAAACCAGCTTTGGTGAAATGACTGGTGCCTAATGATTTCATCCATTTTGAAGCGTCGTTTTCCATGAAACATTGGTACGCCAGACGTACATGTATCTGCGCAAATAGTACACAACATTTAAAGCTCTGACAATAATAGGCAACTTTTGTGTGGATGATAATTAGATGTCAATTGCCAATATTAGACCACAAATTGTCTGCAACATATTCTTTGTTCACTACCAGCTGACCATATGACTGTGTTAAGGCTGGACAGACCATTTGATGGGTGGGGGGTAGAATCCTCCCATGATATTGTGCAAGAATAATGAACAAAAAAATATCGAGCAAGACACAATTGTAAACCTTATTTACCATTTCGTGCATTTCCGGAGAAGGCCCCGCTTCCACCAGAGGCAAACACTATTCCAAATTTTGGTCAATTTTTTAGGAAAAAATCTGCTTTAATTACATGTTATGTGAAAGTTCAAGTTTGTTTAATAAGACTTATATATATATCATAACTGAATTAATTTTATACAATGTTTATTTTTAACAGTTGCACTTCAGTTTTGTAATATAATTTATAAAACTCATTAACAATGTTTATTAGACAATGTTTATCCCTGCGCCGACGGTGCTTCGTGCCGTGCGAGGGTACTAATTCCCCCCGGCTATTTACACCCGGGGAAACGAAAGCATTAGCGAAGTCCGGGCTCTGACCAACGAACGCATATCGCGAACGCACATCGCGGGCTCTGACCAACGAACGACGATCTTGAGTGGGTGGTCATCCTTATCTCAAAAATATGGCAAGCAAGATTTCATATTTGGAAAATCGTTTCATATACAACAAGCTTGAAGCAATTTTGTTTGAAGAAATGAGAAGAATTGGTTTACTACAGGAAACCGTGAAATATACGGCAAGTTTGCTTTGAATATTTTTAAAATGTCTACGAATTTTGTTGCTTTAACTTTTACGTAATAAAAAACATGAACTATAGAAGCTCTAAGTATCATAAATTACCGTTTAATTTGAGAAAAAATCTTAACATGTGAAGGCGAACAAATTGATTTAGAGACTGAACTGAAATTACCTAACTATTTTATTTGTATTAAACTTATCATGTTTTGTTAAGTAAAAATAGTTTATCGGCAAAATGTAGGTTTACTTGAATGAACATTTCAAAACATTTTACAAAGCGTTTCAAGTTAGATTTTACATTAAATTTTGAGCTCACAAAATGCAAAATAATATACCTACAGTATGTATTTCGGAAAATTATTGTTGTATAGTTAAAAGTACGAATCTTTCAACTATTTTGCAGTTTTGTACAAAATAATTATGAAAATAAAAATTTAAGAATATCGTGTTGTCATGGCAACACTTGAGTGCGAGCCTGCGTTCAGTGCTGGTCATTTCTGAATACTTCATGTTTAATGTATGGAAATATTGGCAAGGGGTTACTGCATGCATGTATTTCTAGTTTTAAAAAATACTTAGCCAATAAAATCTTAATTAGATGGGTCCTTTTATAAGCATGATAAAACATGAGCGTCGGCTGTGCTCATGTTTTATCTAGTACTTAAAAGATACCCCATTAATTATTAAGCAAACCCATGAAAAATGTAAACTACAAAATATTTACAGTCAAAACAGAAATACCTGCACACTTCCGCTTCTGTAGTTTGTTGTGTAATACTGAATTTCTGTAGCTGCTGAAAAAATGTTCAAAAATATATATATGTATATAATGCACCCCTGCCATCGTATTAAAAGCCAGGCAGGGCAGGTGACAATAGGAGACTTGCCAATAGATGCTATTGCATCATTTGGCTTTCATTTGTTGGTAACAGCCTGAGGTCATATGATACCCTTATACTGTGATCTTTAGGACACCAGTGCATTTTTGATGAAGAAGCCTGGTAACCAAAGGTATATGTGACCACATAAATATAGTTTTAATACTGATATAAAATACAACAAAAATTAAAATCTCACCCTTTATAAATTAATATTTAATGGCATCTTCATCAGTTTCATATTCACTGTCTTCTAGCTCATCGATATCGACTTCAATCCCGTCCACTTCATTTTCAGTATGCAGACATTCAGAAACTTTTTCTGAGATTTTGCCCTAGCTAGCACGTTTTCTCTTAGCATTTTTGTATGCAGGAGCAAAGCTATATTTCAGCTTTGTCTTTTCCATGGCATTTCTTGCTTCTTGCAGCTTAAATAGACACTTCCCGAATTTGCTTGAGTGCACACGAAACAATAGCTTGGAATCGAGGCGGGCAATGTAATCCATTGGAAATAAGTATAGTTTTCCAATGGATTACATTGTCCGCCTCGATTCCAAGCTATTGTTTCGTGTGCACTCAAGCAAATTCGGGAAGTGTCTATTTCACATGATTATCAACATCAATCAATTCTGGCCATGCAGTAGTATCAAAGAAATGAAGCTCGTCTTTATAACCTGTGTGGCAATTAAATAAATTTAAGACATTTCCCCTGTTTCTCCTTGTACCATTTTCATTGGGAGAACATTCATAGTTGTGCTGTTTGATTTAAAGCTCATTTAATTTAATATGTAACAAGTTATTTTAAACCCATAAATATATATACCCCAAGCAACTGTGACAAGGAGACATGTATTTTTACGCTCTTCCAAAATACAAAATTGTGTCTATTATTTCTGATATGCTTGTTTAAAATATGTGCTGTTGCGAGGGAATATAATTGTTAATACATTTGTCATTAGAAAATCGTATTCTCGTTTATTAAACGGTTCGGTATAACTTGAAATTTCCAGTCAATGCTGGTAACTTGTTCAAGCGGCGCGGCTGACAGAGACGACTTTGCAATGCAGATGGATAACTACATCAGATCATCAGAAGTATTTAAATGGGTCATTGTCAATACTTAGATTTTACAGTTCTTATTTTGTTAACAAAAATGTTAAATTGTGGAAATATAGTAGATATATAGTACTTTTTCACTGAAATGAGTCTGATGGTAACATCTTTCAATGCTATAACGACATTAACCGAAATCCATACCAGAGGATTAACTACAATAAGGTGTATAGAAAAGTTTTATTAACTGTTGTAAATTTGTATATAATGATCTGAGTTAATTCATTCTTTTTCTTGGTCGAGCACAATGGTCATTAGAAAATGCTGTGCTCACTCTTGACAAAGGGTCTTCGCTCGAAACGTCGAGTTTCTGCTTGTTCATTTCAGGTAGTAATATAACCACTCAGCACAGCATTTTCACATTGGTACTACCTACACTGGTACAGACAGTTTTAGTAATGGTCATTAGAGGCTAGATGGATGACGCCATTGACGTGGTATTTTTGCGTCAGTCACAGCTCGCTCAGAAGCATCATCGGTCAATGACGTGCGATGTTTTGTATATAGATCATGGTCACGCCGTCCGATACCCTACGTTGTCGAGAAATCTTTAGTACGAACTTGTTGAACGTTTTCACTTTATTAATATTATTTATAGAAACAAGTAGATAACATTTTGCTGTTGTTTGTTTAAAAAACATCAATACGTGGTAAGAACATCATTCAGTGACTTATAGTTATGCATTGCTCAAACCTAAGACTGAATATCTCTAAAAGTCTTATCCATAGAGGGGCTAAACTGTGGAATAGTCTATAGCATAGAACTGTATCTGTGCACCTATTTTACATATCACATAACCTTTGGTAAAAAAGTTTTTTCTACATGAAGCAGTATATAAGTATACACGCTTTTCAGATAGCGCATGAGTTATCATGCTGAGAAATAATTTGCCAATGTCTCACTAATATTGTGAGCATCAGGTAGTACGTTATCATCGATTTCTTCCTCCACCTCTTGGACAACTTCGTTTTCTTCCCAACATGGCAAATAGTCATTCTTCTGAAGCTCACATACATTGTGCAAAATACAAGACGCATATGTGACATTCACCAAGGTTGCTACCTCCATGTCAACTTGCTTAGAAAATCGAGTAAATCTTCCTTTCCATCTGCCGAAAGTATTTTCCACTGTCACCCTGGCACGACTCAGTCGATAGTCAAACCCCGTACACGCCTAGGTGCATTCTTGTCATAACCCATGGCAAAGAGTGGATAAGCTGGATCTGCCACAATGAACGGTGGGATTTCATCTCCATTTATCTCCTCTGTTAGGTCGTTTGGGAAAAGGTTTTGCTCATTGCCGTTCTTATAAATTTCCGAGTTGGAAAAAACGCGAGCATCGTGAACACTCCCAGGCCATCCAATCGCAACATCCCTGTAGAGGTAATTGCAATCGACCACAGCCTGCATTAGAATGCTATGATAGCCTTTTTGATTAACATACTCTACATGGCTTTCCCATGGAGCAAGGATTGGTATGTGTGTGCCATCAATAGCCCCTGCACACATTGGAAAACCCCATGTTTTCTCATAGCCCTCAATCACTTCCAGGAGTTGGTTTCCTTTTGGAAAATTGATCACTTTGGCCAATTGTTTAGTAATAGCACGGCACACGACTCTCACGCACAGGCAAACAAATGATGCAGAGACTCCAAAAGATTGCCGATTGTTCTGTACTCTGCTGTAGAAGCAAAAAAATACAAGGTAGGGGCTAATCGTCTTTTTGGCGGAATTGCCACTTGGCGGAATTGGCACTTGTTGTTGAATTTGTTCACTGGCTTCCATGTTTTGCTTCCTGTGTCACAGGCTCTGTTATGCCACTTGCTTGTGTCACAGATTCTGTATTTTCGACTTGATTTGTCGACGGTGTTGAGCTAGTTGTTGGTACTGTTTCTGTCAGTTTTACTGTCATATTTAATGCTGTCTCGATTGCCAATGTAGCATCTAACATTTTAGCGTTGAATCTCCCAGCATCTTCGGCTTCTGCCAAGATTTCCTCATCAGATATGTCTTTGTTCCAACAAAGTAAATCGAGTATATGTTCGTCAATGTGCCCCAAAGTATCTTTCCTTTTATGGAATGTTATTTTCAATTGTCAAAGCTCTGTAATAACCTGTTTGTTGCCAGTTCCATAAATACACCGATTTTCTCCTCGAGATCTGCCATTAATTTGTTTATGTAAAATCTGTGACTTCCTCTTGTGTGTAAGAACTTCGACAGATTGTCCATGTTTACGTGAATTCCTTCGATTAGCGACGTGTTATGAAATCTGGTTCGAATAGGACCACTATGTTGCAAAAGTTTGATAATACACACAAAAGTTGTATTTTGTATTTATTCAGTTGCTTACAATCAGTACAATAATAAATAAAAACATTTGGTATGAACACTTCAACATATAATCCTTCCAAGCAAACACTGTACTTTCCAACTCCTTACATTCTCCCTCGTGCTCTCGTAATTACGTCTTAGTTAAATTATATTGTTCTTACATAAAGTACGTCCCAACGAAACACAACAATATATTACATGTTAATAGAAATTACATGACACCTTCCATTTTCCCTTAACAACATGGTGGTTGTGGAAAAATGTCCAACGACGTGCAACTAAAGTTATCTGCCCTTCCTTGTGGTACAGCCAAAGTCTAACAGAACTCGAACTACCTACACTTTATGACAGAAGAGAGTCGTGATGCAAGTCCTTTTATACAGGGTTCGTACACCTTCATAATTTAAAAAATCCAGGGTTTTCCAGGACTTTTTTCATCCTTTTTCCAGGGGCATTTGAAATATATAAAACAAACAGTTGGCAGTTTTTTTAGTGTTTAATACCATAATTAAAATTTTAAATGACATTGAATTAACGACTTTCCCATGTGACCCACGACAAAAACTCAGTTTAACCATTTTTATTACACCCTGTATACAAAAGATAACAAAACTAACTAAAGTGGCACAATGTTTTTATAATTAAATAAAGAACTTCAACATGAAATAACTTACTTCCTATAACTTACTTACTTTAATAAATAACTTCACTAAGTAATTTCAACATGATGTGCATGGTGGGATGTAAATATAAAAATACATGCATAATGGGGATTACAACTCGAGCATTCTCGGGTGAGTTTTGTTATTCAGAAAGACATGAAAGAAATTTTTTTTTCGGAATGAGCCATATAATGAACGGTTTATTGAGCTCTCTTGTTTGGTCTGCACAGTAAAATGTCAGATGGAGGTTTTTTTAGTACGGTTTTTTAGCACAGTGAAATATCGGACTGAATTTTTTTAGTATATGTTTTTGTATTTACGTATATCCCACCATGCACATGATGCAATGCATCTAGCTTGGCAGATAAATCCGTAAGTTGCTGCGATTTCTCTCTTGCAGTCCTATGTAAACTGTTTGATTTGACTACAAAGTTAAGCTTCCAGTGTCCTCTGACTTTTGGGCATATTCATCAGCTGATTTGTTTAATTCAGTACTGTCACTACTCTCAAGATGTCTTCTCTTTCGCTTCAGTTCATCAATTTCCTCAAGTACATCCTTTCGTTTTCTAGCGACTTCCTCTGTTACCTTGGCTCGTTTCTGCTCTTCCAAGTGTGCCATGTATTTCTGCCTCGCAGATGCTGCTGAGATTAGTAACTGCTTAGACACGTCCACTTTATGTATGCCACCAGCATTGTTGATGTGATCACAAACTAACCGTTGTGCAATCACAGACTCTTCATGTAAATCTCAACTTCTATTTGTCGGTTGACCGAGAATCCACGTTCGACTGATGCTTGTCCATGCGAGAGCAGCAAGAGATCACCCACACTGATCTGTAATGCTGATTGTTGGCCATGAACTTATGCAAAATTTCTTCAACCCTTGCATTGGTTTCATTAGGGTCAAAGGAAGCAAAGGTAGAGTTATTGCTTGCTACAGTGATGCTAATAAATTCCTCAAACTTTGCAAGTACATCATCACAAGCCGATGCGCCTCCTCTAACTCTCTTTGCATTTAGCAGGGTATGTAGAACTTTTTTCATCTTCTCTAAACACACATCCTTAAAAGTGGCAAGCTCCCGAGGATCAAGACATGACAAATTTCTTACAAGGGAATACTTCAATGGACATTTGTCCAACAATTTATAACACATTGCAATCTTAGCTCCATTACTTGCCTTTCACTAAGATAATACCTTGGACTTTTCTTCCATTTGCTTAGCTCTTCCTGTGCTGCAAAGCCAAGGTCTACTTTGCTGTAAACTGGATCAATCTATGTCCATTGGATCAATCTTCAACAACTTTGCTGTTGAGTTAGCAGAGCTCATGACGTCCGTCTTAATAAAGCGCTTCATAAGACCTATATAATGACAGTACATATACTAGACAATAATAATGCACTGCATATAAACATATTATGTAATACTGTAGAGTCTAATGTGTACAGTAAAAAACATATATATAATATAGCCCAACAGGTATCATGTTCAAGCTAAATTAACCATCTTTCTTTTTGTTTGCCAAAATTACTATACACAGTATATGCAAAGAGTAATGATGCTCACAAAGTAAAGTATGATGTGTTTATTGATCATACCACCTTCATATTTCACCTGCCTGATCATACTTCACTCATTGTGATGCAAATCTTCAAAAAGCTTATGGATTCAGCTTTTAGAACAATATATTGAACATGTGTATAACCTTAGTGTAATGAAAGTCATTCACATAATATAACATACTGACCTGACAGCATTCTTTCCAAGTCATTGGCAATAAAAGGTAGGATGGGCTTATCTGTTTGGTACTTAACCAAAAATGGAGTGACTTGCTTGAGTAGCTTGATCATAATTAAGGAATCTTTGGTACATGATGCTACTGTGTCATAAGATGCTGTTCCGGGGTTGGGTACACTTTTTTCAGTAACCTTCTGCACATAAGCTTTGATGTGAGGCCAAATTGCAATAGCCCTCTCAGCAACTTGAACATTCTCTCCCAGCGATGAGGGCAAAATTTCAATGGGAAATGATCTGATGCTGTAACAGATATATAATCCTCCCTTCATGCTGGCGTATCTTTAAATAACCTAAGTAATATGGAACATTGACACAGTTTTATTAGTAAACAGGTACAGTTCTGTTGCTAGGACTAGGTAAGAGTATACAATTAAATTAAGTAATTTACCTGAACAAACGTAGCAAAAGTTTTGCTATAGACCAAGTGGATGCATCAGAACCATCTTTAAATGCACCATGTATGATATGCAACCCACAACTTCCAATCATAATTAATGATTTTCCAGTTTCAGCAGTTGATTTGGACTACATTTCCTTGTGAAATTTCCAATTCACATTTGGCCCGTCTATAGATATTTGCAAAAGCTTATTCTTATCCAAACCTTCTGTGCCGGCATCAAAGTGTTCTACCATATCAGCAGCTGTTGCATATCCCATGAATGCTGATCCATAGTAACATACATGTCTTCACCTGAAAAATTTGAAAAAACTTTTTTTTTCCAAATTTGCTTTTTTTTTATTGCATAATACAAATCCAATTATGCGCCTACCTGTGCATCATCACCCCACAGCCTGCAATGTATATCGATTTGCTTGTTGTATGTTTTCTTGTTAAGACTCTCATCAACCAACAGGACGTAACTTTGTTGATTATGTAGTGTATCCTTCAGTAGCTGTTTAAAATATGGTGCAATACCAAAATTACATAAATATGCACATTTCTTTTCACCACAAGGAAACTGTTTTGCAATTTCTAAATCCGAAAACATTTCGGAAAACAGTTTTTGCACGTCACTGCAAGAACAAAATGAGTAATGAGATTTGACAGCCTTCAGGGCTCACAGTACTTCTGAACGAAGGCACTCTTTACGTGCAAAAAACCGCTCCAATTGTCTCTTTATTCATTGCATTACCATTCGCTTCTGAATTTGTAGTAGCCGGTTCTGATCTTTCAGGTCATTGAATAAAATCATCCATCGATGATCCAACTGCATTTGATAGCCGAATCGAAGCATATTTCTTGTGCTTTGCTCCATCTTTATGACTGCGAAGAGCTGCTTCACCCATATTCGAAATGTCGAAAGTTTTAGTGCAGACTGAACACTTGGCATTGTGTTTATTTGCATCTTCTTTCAACCAACCACTGTATTCACAGTTTTCAAGCCACTTTCGATTAAATGAGCACTTCCCTTTTGGCATTGAAGTAATAAATTATGTCTATTAATAAGTATCTATTATGTTGTAGGAATGCATTGCCATTTCATGACCTAAAAAGTGCTCAATCTGTTGTATCCATACCTCTAACTAGAATTATGAACAGATATGTAGAAATTGGAAAGTACCTGAGTACGTTGAAATATGCCAAAATTGTACCTATATATAAAAATGATGATGATGAAGATCCAGGAAACTATAGGCCTATCTCTCTTCTCTCAAATATTAATAAAATGTACGAGAAGCTGGTGTACAGGGGGTCCCCCCCAAAATGTTCCCTATCATTTTGTGATACTACATCGTTACCTGTAATCGAATATTCAAATTTTTTCATTTTTTTATCAATTAACATATTACGTTAATCGTTGCATTGTATTAATTTCTACAAGAAACAAAACATTTTGTTTTTGAGCAGGAAGGTGGGTAGAAACGTTAGAAATCCTTATACAAAGTTTGCATTATTTTTAACCTAATTTTTGTAATTTGGACGGGTTGCAAAATTGGTGTCGCCACCTTAAGTATCTCTAGAAGCCGAATGGTTAAGTCTTTTGGTGAGATAAATACTATGATTAATATAGTGTGATTGTTTTTCTACCACTGCAAAAAAATTGAACCTTTCATTAAATATAATACCACCAAATATGACAGGGGACATTTTTTGGGGACACCCTGTACAACAGGATTGCCTCTTTTCTGAAAAAGAACAATACCTTATTTTCTATGCAATATGGTTTCCATGAGAAACACACGACACAGCATGCCCTTCTCGATATAGTTAGTAAAATTCAAAATAATATGGACAACAAGTTATTTTCTTGTGTATTTTTATAGATTTACAAAAAGCATTTGACACCGTTAACCATACAATTCTTCTCAGTAAATTAAATTATTATGGCATAAGGGGTGTTATTAATAACTGGTTTTGTTTGTATCTCAATGGAAGATCACAAACAACTCAAATAAGCTCAAAAAGTTGAAATAAAGAGCTCATATTATGTGGTGTTCCACAAGGCTCAGTTCTAGGGCCTATACTTTTTTTAATATATATTAATGATATGCATTATTCATCTAATAAGTTGCAGTTTTGATGATACTAATCTACTCTATGCAGACAAAAACTTAAAATCACTTGAGAAAGTTGTGAATAAAGAATTGGAACATGTTTCTGACTGGCTAATTGCAAATAAACTGACCTTAAATATTAAGAAATCGAATTTCATTCTCATAAAAAAAGCTTGATTATACTCCTAATCTCAAAGTCTTCGATCGTAAATCTGGTACTCGGATTTTGCTTGAATCAAAGACTTTTATTAAGTACATTGGTATCTTATTGGACAGCAATTTATCTTGGAAAGCACACATAGATTATATTAGTTTAAAGATTAGCAAAACAATCGGCATAATATCAAGATTAAGGTATTTTTTACCCCACTAGCGGCTGTGTACAGGAAAGCTCCGGCTCCATATTGGTTATGTAATTATAGCCGACCGGATGTAAGCTCGTTACTGTTGCTATGTTACCGGTTTTACCAGATATATATTTTTTATGTATTGTTGTTATAATTACGCGCAAAATTATGTTAGTTATTATAATTTACGCGCGAAATTCGTAAATACTATAGTCTATAGTCTACTATAACACAAAGCTCTTCCTCGCGTCTTCAAATTGTAATATATTGTGAAACATCATTCAAGATAATTGTGATCGAGATTGTGTGATTTGTGCGGAAGGAATTTGGAAATGGTAATATTTTACAATATATTTAAATTTGTATATTAAAATTAAACAAAATTTCGAT